GTCTCGAGTCTCCTGTGTGGATTTCCTCATCGAGGCGGGTGCCAGCGTGCTTGCAGTGAACAAGAAAGGTGTGACGTAGTTCAAATGATGCCAAAATGGAAACACATGATTTTGTATAATTACTCTTTAACTCAACATTTACTCTACAGTCTCCTTTGTGGCGATGCATGATGCACCAGCATTTACATCCTGTCTTTATAGGCTCGTTGACTACAAGCCTACATCGTAGCACTTTCACATCTGTCTCGTTTAACTGCTGCTGCTGGATTTTATTTCTGTACAGAGCAAAGCTGCCTCGATGTTGCCACAGATTTTGCAGACCCTGTAATAATCGACTTGGTCAAACAAAAGATGGATTCTCTGCCTAAACCAAAGGACAAAGCCAAAGGAAAGGAGGCCGGAGCTAAAAAGCCTAAAGCGACTAAAGACAAGGTACACAAATAATCTACGGCTTAAAGGAGACCTTTGAAAACACATTAAAGTCGTTTGCCTTCAGACTTTCCCTGTTCTCTTTGTTTCTCTGTACTGTATCTAATGCTCACTCTGTACTATAAGAATATAGCAGGTTCTGATATAGTGCTTTTCTCCTCTGTCTGAGCGTTCACAGCGTGTTTTCCTGTGCCTCAGTGCTCTTTCACACACTGATGTGTGCAGCAGCTCTGGGATCAGCGTCTGTCTCCTGATCCCCATCATGACCTCTAAATCATGTAAAACGACACACACTGGTTTTGCTCTTCTCCCTCGTAGCTCCAGGGAAACCCGAGCCTGTAAAGGGAGCCGATTACTTAAAGCTGGGCGCTCGTACGCAAATGACACCACATGTGTTTGGTTACAGCTACAGCGAGCTGCTGTTTAGATTTGTGTTCCCTGTAACCAGGTCACAGTCGGTTCAGATGTATGGATGTTGTCATTAAGACCCTGAAAGCAGCAGGTGTTTGTGACGCGTTCATGAATAATCAGGAGTATTTATAATTCAGTCGCAGTTCTGCGGACAATGAAAATATCTGTCACACAGCGAGCCGACGAATCACGGAGCGTTTTTTCTCTGAGCTCGCTCGGAGGCGGTATGACCTGCTTTCACTGTTTTATTATAATAATAAAACAGTGGATTGGATTTATATAG